TCTTTTTATTTTACAACTTGAGCTGTATTTGGAAGCGTTGCATTGGGTACCTTCAAAATTGCAAGTCGCGCAACACACAGTTGTCATTTCTCAATTTCACTCTTTTATATTTGTTACCATTAGCGGGCTCAACATTAACAGTCTTCTTACAAACAACCCCATCGCCTGGTGAGATCTGCTAAGGTGCACATCAACAAGACGGGAAGGCAAAGGACCGGCACAGGGACAGATCTTGACGCCTATGTTAACATATGAACCGTTCTCGCTGAAAAAGAACTTACCCCCAAGAAAACACCTTAGTATGCAAGTGCAAAAAAAAACTTTAAAACCAGCGAGATCTTTTTTTTTCGAGCTGTCATTGAGTAGATTAGGGAAAGAAATTCCGTATAAATACTATACGGCCTGCAAGGGACTCAACGCAACAGAAAATATACTAAATCCAGCCCACAAAAAAATCAATCTAACCTCGTTTCAAAGCGAGTCCTCATACCAAGAGAACTGAACACTGTGCGACACAGTTAGTGCAAACACAACATTTTTTTCGGTGTTCTTTTTTTTTTATCATGGCCCGGCATCGTATTCATCAATATTAAATGTTACCGCATACTTTGGCGCCCATAATGAGCACACTCCATGACACTCATAATTTTGAGACAACCTTTTATTAGCGAGGGGAAAAACACATGAATAGCAAGCGATGACTTGTTCGTGTCAACTGTGTCGCGCAGTGTACTGCGTATAAATAACCTCCTCCACGCATATGTTGTTGTTGTTTTTTTTTTTTTTCACGTCAACTTCTCGTTTTTGTTGTTTTTCGATTCAAATTATTGCCAAAAACTTGCACAGAAAAAAAAAAAAAAAAAAAGTCCGGCATTGTGGTCCCAAAAGTAGACTATACACAGAACACTCCTACAAGCACGTATAGCGTAAATGCATCAAATATTTCTCGAAGTGGTTCCAACTCAAAATCCAAAAGTACGATGTCGCGAGCGGCCGTTCCTGACGACTTCACCGGGATAGTCCCAACTTCCGTTAAGTGACAGTACGTCACATAGCGAAAGGAGTACGCCAGTAAGGTGCATAATTAGAAACTAAAATGCTAGATGCACACGTTAGGATACGTTGGCACTTTGCTCGTAACGAAATGTGTTTACGCGTCTTAGCAATTCCAAGAACGACGTGTCGCCAGGCCACAGCAATCGCACTATCATACATGAAATTTAATCGTTGTAATAACTTCACAGTATATTGTACGCTTAAGAGACCGGCAGCACTACAACACGCACCGGATGAATATCTCAGATAACCTTTTACTGGTTTTTGAAGTGACTTCAGAATCGGTTAGTTGAATATATATCCTGTGTGAACTCAGATAAACCCAGCATTCGATGAAACATCGGGCTACAGAACTGGCAATAATGCCCATAAGATGCTTTATCGCTACATGATCGAAGGGCAGAGTGTGTTAGGTAAACGCAGCTCGCCTTCGTTCAACACAAGTAACTGGCGGGGTTTCTGTGATACATGGAATTACAAAATGTTGCAGGCAAAGCAACCTAGCGAAAGCCTTCCAGTATCGAGTTTAAATAAAGTTAGGTCTTCTTAAAAGTTAATGTTTCTATCAAAAAGAAAAAAAAAAAAACGAAGACCAAGCATAGACTTTTAGGATCAAATTTCTCCCAAGATGAGCGCAACAGTGATATAACAGCGGCAAGCAAACGCCGCAATTGTTCAATAACGCAAACCTAACAACCAACCCACAAACAAACACATTAACTTACATCACCCTTAAGCACACGGCCGAAACATGGTTGTGGATCCCTTCAAGTAAGGGTATTTCTGAAAGTTACACGGAAACATCACAAGGAAAACCCAAGCCTTCGTCGAAAGAGATGCACGATGGTATCGGACACTGCTCATCATTATTTGAGCGAGGTCAATGAGTTCACAAAGTATCGCTTAGACCTTTGCAAAAAAATTAAAAAAAAACCATCTCACTGGGGTCCACCGGCCACTAAAGCACCTCCACATAATACAATCATTTATACAAAGGAACCAGGAAACCCGACCGAATGCATCAAGAGCGAAGAACTGCCACAGTGTTGGTGTCCCTCACCGTCACCTCATTCAAAAAACTGCTACTTTGCATGACTACGCAAACAATGCAAATATCCTAACTCTAAGCACGTGTGCATCTAGTAGACTCAATTCCTTCTTGGAGTTGTCTGAAAAGGCAGGAACATTGTAACAGCGTTAACTCGGGAAGAGATAAAAGGCAAGTGGTTGGTTGTTCGTCGGTATGGGGAAGATGCACCTCGCCACGGCCGGACCCGCGTCCGTTGCGCTTCACCTGACGGACTGGCACCGTTCTAGAAACCGTCATATTTAAAGTCAGACTTGAGGGTTTTACTCGCCAAATCGATGAAGGGCATCTGGCACACCCCCAGTGAAGGACTGAGAAGTAGTTTCGACCACCTGGGGGATATTTTGACCCGCAACCACGGCGCCTCCTCCGCCTCTGACAGATTGCGGGCACCTCGGCCGGGATTCGAACCTGCCCGCTGGTCGGCGCTGTTGCCTCGGAGCCTCAGAACCGAAACTCCCCTTCAGGAGGGTTTCGGCTGTTGGAAGAACAATGGCGGCCGATAGCACCAAGAACGGCTAACCAGGCGCAATGCTATTGCTATAGAGCTCTGTCGCCAAACGGTTCTCCTGTGTTCGCAGGCAAATGGAGTCGTTAAACATATTTACAGCTGTGTGAGTCACTGCAAAATGTTCCACCGACGCTCCACCGGTGAAACAAATGAGGTGAAGACTGTACGGTGCGTATCGTAATTGTATTACTTAAAATTAATCACTCGTTAAGCATTAGTGGTAGTCTTCGTGACTTTTTTTGTCATTGCTTAATATGTATTTCATTGCCCATACTCGTAATACTGAGGGGTGCACCTAGAGCACGTTTCTTTCATGATTGGAGCAAGGAACTTTTTTTTTACAGTCTTTACCAGTTCGTTACATCGTACAAAAACGAGAAACTAGGGGAAGTCTGAGCAAAGCGACGAACATCTAGTAAATAAGCGAGTCAGCGATAAGTAGTTGTTTCATAAAATGCTCGACTCGCCGCAAGAAACACGCGACCAACAAAAACGATAAGAAGTGAGTAAATTTTAATTAATGTAACGTTCAATTACTTGTTGCGTCAAATATGCAAACCGAACATTTGTGCGAGTAATTCAAATTGTTACTTATTCCACCTTTCAGTAACGTGTGTCGGACCTCATCAGAGGCGGTGGATGCACAACCTGAAGTCCTGCGCAAGCGACAACGTTGCTTGCTAAATGTCACTTATAGTCCTAAGAAAGCAAGCCGCACTCTCTTTTATTACACTTCCTCCGTCATGATGTCAATATAATTACTTGTATTGTGAACAAAGCAATGCGCGTTCAAGCCAAGCTATTGATGCGTTCCACGCAACTTCGATGCTTTAATGTGGCATTAGTGGAACTTAAGGTCCATGTGACATTTTGCTTTACCGGCTTCAGTGGCCCAATCGAGCGTTTACAGTGTTTCACCGTAACGCCCTACACACCTTTCCAATGCTTATCACCCAGAAGAGCTAATACGCGTGTTCAGATCGTGTTCCCCAGCCCAATTAGAAAAAGATATCAGCGCGCAGAAAAACGATTATTAGAATGGCCTACGTAGATTCCTTTAAACAAAACATTGCTCCTATCTAAATATATCGCGGAAAACGGTTCTGTGTGTGTTTTTTTTTTTTTTTTTTTTTTTTTTGTCTAGAACATTAGCGGACGAGTAGACCGTATTAGAGACGGAAATACCCGTCCACAGAGATTACGGGTGTACGCTATAATAGCAGACGGTAAATACCCGTTTGCTAATGGTCTACATCTGTATGGAAAGCTAAACACCTTATGTATGTCGATGATGAATATTGTCCTTGAAACCGCGGTCACAGTGCTAATACATCGTTAAAAAACGGTCTTCTGAGGCATGTTTTTTCCTTGCATGATGATGTTGCCACATTGGTTATCAAAACCTGTCTGCAGCCATGTTCAAAGCATGTATGACGCAAACATGCGTAAGACGTTTCCGAAAATAATTCGACGTCATGTCTGTTTGAAGTATGAGCAGTTGACTGCGGCTTTTAGACTACCGGTAACTCTGATCGACTGATCGACGGCTAAGCGGGATACCGGAACCAGAGGTCAGGTGGGACCGCGACGGCGGCGGTCGGCCAAACCGAGGCGCATCTTCCCGATACCAGAGAAGGCAGAGGCACACACACACATGCACACATAACACGAACGTGACTTGTTTCAGACATGCTTTTCGTTATCGTTTCGGTCTCAACGCGCAAAAAACAATGGATGTATCTTTGCTGGTCGGTCGAGTGGTTCGGAGGAACGGGTATGGAGATCGGTTGGCATGAGAGCGCTGCTGATGCCCGCGCGCGCGCCGCCATTTTCTGGCAAGACGAGTTCTCTCTCACGGGCGCCAAGATGAATGTGGCTCATTTGGGGGATGAAATGTTTGCAAAGCGTGCGTGAACGTAAGTGTGTACACAGACACTCTTTTTACAGACAGGTCCGCGTTTGCCCACACCAGCTGTGGGCCCTGCGCATGCGCAGAAATGAGATTTGAGTGGGGAAGCGTTTTGCGCATGCACCGTGCCGACAGGAGCGCCACCACAGCTGCGTGACGTCACAGCCGCGAGTTGGTACATACATTCGCGATGTTTGGCTGGCATTTATAAAAAAAAAAGAACAAAAAAAATGTTTGGCATGCCGGATTGTTAAAATATCTTTGAGCAGAATCACGGAAGAGAGATCCTAGATTCATTGGTGAGACTTTTTGCGCGTTATAGCTTGCTGCTAGATTCACGAAGATGCATCATCGAGAATCGGCCGCCCCCAAGATATACGCAGCGGTTGCGTGTAACGCCCCGGCTTAGAAAACCAAGGAAAACAACAAAACAAAAGTAATAAGAACATGTGACATTTAATGTTGTTCTTTTTTTTACACAAAACAATACCGATGGTAAAAACCAAATACGTCATGACAGAGAACAGGTACGTGAGAGGCAAACGAAAATAAAAACAACAAAGTTGGAAGTTTACAAGTCGATCGGCCATTTGAACTCTCGGCCCTCGTGCCAGTGTATGATGATAAGCAAGAGGAATTACGAGCAAATTGTATCGCCGGTTGTTTGCATACTACGGAGATCCCCAATGGCCCTGGTCTGAAAGGAGGAACCTAGGGATGGAGGTCGGCGTTTCCCTAAGAGACCTGACTACTTCGGGGATGCCACTACACTCTTAGAAAAAATCGCTTCCCTAGGAACGGCCAAAAGTAATTCCGGATTCCCTAAATTATGGTCGCGAAGCCAATCAATATTATGCGGTTCTTTTCTTCAAGATTATGCATTTAGTTAGCTTCGCATTGTAGGAAGACATTCATACGAATGAAAGAAAGACTTGTCAGCACAATTAGCGTCATAGTTGCAAAAGTTTCTTCTTAATCTTGTTGATTGATTTTGTAATATAACGTCAGTTGTATTGCTCCCCTGAAGTTCATAAAACAAGACATAGGCCCCACATTACCTAAAGTCAGGGAGGCATTCGGTAGTACTAAGAGAAAGGGTATTTCTTACCAAAACTTTTTCAGTCAAACGTGGCGTTAAAAATTCTACTATAGAAGTTTCTCGCAACAATTCCAATATGGTCAAAGAACCACGGCAAAATCAGATAAAAAAAAAAACATTAGGTCCAATGTGTTTTGCGATGTTTGGGGAATCTTAACAGTGCTACTGAGCATCCGTGAACACCATAGGTCCACTCTGTGCGTTGCATATACTGACGTTACGCAATGAAAAGTTCTACCAGCGAAAAAAACTTCAAGAACTACGAACAAAACAAAAAGTCAATTTCCACATACAGAAATTGACGAGCATAGCTGGCACGGACCGCAATAATTATTCGCAACAAAACAAAATAACCAGGGAAAGTTTTAGGCCCATCTTTTCAAACCAGAGACATCGAGAGACCACAGTATCAGAACTAGAAGTCATAAGACCTGGCAAATAAAAACAAAAGTTGTTCATAAAACGAACAATTCATGTAGACTGAGCCAGGGTACTGCGACACTGCGTGAGGGCGGCTCCGGACAAAAACTTTGCCATCAAACAGGACAACCCTCCAAGGACCCCAAACCTCGACTAACTCGCATGAGCAACAATGACAGTATTACTATGTTAGACCAGGCAGTGAAACGACAACGACACTGGAAGGCCTTAGCGGCACGTCTTGGCAACCTTGAAGACAGCGAGCTAGAATGGCGACCCTCTGTTCAGACGATGTAACGAAAAACGGAATTTGGAACGAAATTTATAAGGAAGAGGCGTACATGTTCCCATGGCACAAATCGAAGGGTGGTTCTAAGGACTTCTGAGGGAACTCATTTCAGAGTTCTCATTTACCCGCTAAAACAATTATTCAAGAACCCTTAAACCCAGCGGCTTTTTTTTTTTTTTTTTTTTTTTTACATTTTTACTGATGTTTTGCAGTCCTTAAATATCGCCCACTGCAGCTTTTCACGTGTTGTTTCCTCGGTCTACTAGTCTGCCGAAGTAAAAAGAAAAAAAAATCGACTGCGGGCAGTTACTATGTTGTTGTTTTTTGCTCTTTTGCGCAGTGAACGTACTTTTCAAATGGTGTAATGTTTTTACGAAAATAAAATTCGAACGACCATCTTTAAAAAATATAAACAAGAGATTCTGTCGCCTAGGGAACAGTAAATGCGTAATTAAGTTTTTCAAAGACCCGTGGCAGCCGCTAAATATTTTTTGCAGATATCAAGGTTAAATACGTTCGACAAGTTCTGATGGGAACTAAGAATTTCTTTGTTATCATTATGAAAATCGAGTCCCTTAAATAAAAGCGTAATCTTCAAAACACGTTTTCGCACTTTACACAACTTAATCATGCGTACTAAAAATTAATGAGATCTCTTCATCGGGCTGTTGGTGGGGCATATATGTTTTTCAATTAAGCTTCTTATTATAATAAATTGAGAACAAAACAATGAAATACCGAAGACTTAATTGAATTACGTCCTTTGCAATCTTTCACGAGGACAGAAGTGCTCAAAATAAAAACGCCGAGGGATGCAGGCGATACAAATTTGGTCGAATAGGTTCCGAGCACGGAGGAAGAGACAGGCGGGAATAAATTGGTTCCCCCTTGAAATGGAGCGTAACTCGCGCCCTCTGGGAGACTAGTGGCCACTGAAAAAGGTGTCTGGACGACGCCGCCTCGCCATAAAGCACGTGTGGCGGAGGTTCGCTCGCATTTCTTAGAAATGCCGAGAGGTGGCGCAACATGCTTAGAGGCCCATAATGGGCATCAAGGGCCCGATGAGAGCCATTCGAGGAACCGCCCTTATTCGGGCGGCGCTGTTTACAAGGTCGCGCGGGGGTCGACTGCGCCTGCACGGAGACCCCTAGGACGACAGCGCCCCTGCCGGAAGATGGGCGAAGCTCGGGCAAACTTTCGCCGTCTAGGCTGGCCTTGTTCAAAAACTTTTTTTTTTCCACCGAGGTTTTGAGTTAGTAAGACGAATGGTATGCAAAATGCATCGTTTTCGTGAAATCCTGGAGGCGCAGCGGCTTTCCGCGAAGTATTGCCATTCCAACTCGCTGTCTTACAACTCAACAATGCTGAACGATTAATGGCGGCAGCTTATTTGTCACTGCTCACGGAAGAAAAATAAAAAAAATCCATAAACAGTGCTGTTGCCACAAGGAGCATGTCATGTATCACATTTCTTAACCTAGAGCCGGGCTTCCCATTGCGAACCTCTCCAAACAAAATCCCCGCTCACACACACACGAAAAAAGAAAAATCTTTTTAATGAATAAAGCAAAAAAACAAAAACATAGAAAGAAAAAATCGTGACGGATGATTGCTTCAATATATTTTCTGAAAGAGATTCGACGTGGAGCGCATTAAAGTAAGATTCGTGATCGTCTAAATATGGCAGCGCAAATTGGCAACTGTGAACGCATAGAATGTTTGAAGTATCCGACTGATGGGTCCAAGCGACCCACCCACAGTTTCAGCTAGACCATTCAACGATGGCGTGCTCATTGGGAAGCATTTGCATACGTGACGTCCGAAAGACGACACCAAGCGGCGGAATCTCGAAGCGCAAGTGGCGCTCAGTAGGGGAGTTGCGCTACCTATCCTTCCTCATCTGAGTCGCGGAGGGGGTAGGAGAGGTACGCAACTTTTTCTCCGTACACCAACCGTAGTTCGAACTTCCGCCGCTGCCCGAGGAGCGCCTGCTATGTAAAAAACTCTTCTTAAAAAAAAAAAAAAAAAAAAAAAAAAGCTTATTGGATATTAGTTTTGGAGCGTCGAACGTCACAATTGGATTCGCAACGTGTCGTTAATGTTAAGCTGTCAATGAAGATAGGTGTCTTGTCAACCTGATTATCATATTGTGCCGACATGTATCTTGAATTATAAATAGGTGCACTTACGAAGTTTGCATTAAAAGGGTGAGCTTGGAGACCAAGGAATCGTGATAACTATGAGTCTCGATAAAACTTTTTTACCTGAGTAACATAAAATCAAGCGTGCGTATCCTGAGCTGTTTTTTATAGCATTTTTTTTTTTTTGACACTCGTTCTTATTCGGGATATGAATGACTAGCCTTCCGATAAAATCAGGCAAGAATACTGCACAAACAAGTATATGTGAGTCTGTACATAATACAAAAGTGAAACCAACATCCCTCCCCCCCCCCCCCCCCCCCTTCCCCCCAACTTTCTCTCTCACATAACCGCCAACAAAACGTGACAATAAAATAAAAAAGGCAGTCAGGTTTAGTAGCTTCACCTCTATCTTTTGTTCAAGGATATCGCCAAGGTCCCCGTGGGTAACAGCGAGAGTTCGCTTTCTCCGAAACAAATGTCAACGGCAAATCACGCGAGTGAACGAGACATAAACAAAAACAAAAACAAAAAAAAAACGTTATATACTCCGTTCAAGCACAACTTTGCAAACAGCAAAAAGCTACGACCCTCGTAAGCCAGTAGACACTTTTCGACGGACCATACAAGCAATAATGGCGGTCGCCATTTCTTGGTCTTTTTAGACTTAGGCTAGGTGGCGCAAGCTACCCCCCGTTACAAAGAGTATAGCCATTAACATTCATCTATCCATCCATTGGGCACGAAGCGCGCGATTGGATCGGAGTCCTCTTCGAACGCCGGTGCAGCCCTCGTGTCCAAAACATGCTCAGTGTACGTGCCCAAGTAATTGCGGACTCTTATAATTGGCTCAGCAGCTCCTAGATGGCGCCGGCTATTAGAATGGTCTATTAAAGCGGACGAGCGGAGCAGCTGACCACTCTGGACAGGAGAAGTGCGCTACCACAGACCGTGGTCACGTGCTTTTCTTCGCCCTTCTGAATGGCTCGCACCGGGACCATAGCTATCGCCCTCTGCCGAGTTGTGCTCACATTACGAGGAGATCGAGAAATGGAAAGCATTTTGTTCGGTCGGTATAACTCTGAGAATCAGGCCATCGTATAACTCTTAAGTATGGATTCACATTTGAAGCAGGTGGTTCTCGTATCCAATGGGAATCGTTGTCGCGATGGATCGGACAACGGAGCACCTCAAGACTGAGCATAGGAGTCACTCTATCATGGCAGCCTCCACGCTTGCCAGAACTAGAGCTTTCTAGCGACTCTAGCCAGTACATAGCAGCGTACACTTCAAAAGGGATAACAGCAATAACAAGATGTACGCTGCCCCGTACTAGCCAGCAGGCAAGCAAGAAGTAACAGTCCCGGTATAGAGAAAAATGAAGCGATGGTACCATGAAGCCACGAAGCTGGCCAGAAGGAAACCAAGCGTGTGACCAGGTGATGTAACAGCTCGGATGAACCAATTTGATTAACCAGATAAGCTCTTCAATAGGACGTCACCGGATCCGATGTCTGACAACGTACACTAGCGTGTGACCATTCATTGACGAGTCGTGGAAACAATGTGCACGATCACCGGTTGCACTGCAGACGCTCCGTAGGGAGTTTTGCCTTACGTTAGAGCGAACAATGTTGATGTTACAGTTCCTTCAAGTTTGCAGCGACACATTTAAAGCATCCTGTAACTTTAACAAACCAGTTCACTTATTGTTTCCAGGGGATAAGCTGAACAGCTCACGGACTTTTAACTCAAGAAGTGATTGAGTCACGTGGCGATCTCGTACACATCAGGTTCTCCCGCGATGGCTCTAATTGCTTCCAGGCAAAGTTCAAGGCTATGTCTGCTTATGGTCATGGTGAAAGCTAACGGTAGAAATGCAAAGTCAAGAAATGAGAAAATCAGAAGCGCAAGACCACGTTTGGCAATACTCTGCCTTTGTAAGGCCGTCCAAGACATTTGAAAAGAAGGTTTCGACCGGAACTTCCGCGCCATTTCTTGAAGCAACTCCTATCTCAGTCTGACGCGCGACTTGCCAAACAGATGGCGCGCAGTGCGCATGCGCGTCCGAGCGGTGGTTGTCACGTGACTGCGGGGTGCATCACGTGGTGGTGGGAAGCGACGGCAGCACCGCGTAGAGGACCCTCGGTGAGCCACGGTGGCTGTCGCGCAGCCCAGACTCTTCATCGGGGTCACGGCGCACGCGCAGTTGCGACGATGGTGACGATGACGATGGCGGCGGTGACAGCAGCATCAGCAGCATCCTGAAGGTAATAGTCGGTCGGCGTGCGTGACGTATCACACGTGTTGCACGAACTCCGGGTTGAGGAACGAGAAGCCCATGAACTCGGTCTGGTCCAGGTTCATCATGAACAGCTTGTCCGTCGGCGTCAGGTCGATCTTCTCGCTCGTGAACTGCTTGTCGAAGTTGCTCACGTCCTTGCGGTGTTTCTGCGTACGATGGAAACAGAAAAGGGGCCACACGGTGTGAGGACGTTCATGGAACAAAGGGACGGGCTCTGGACTCGTCAAACACTAAGTTGGAGCAGAACGAGCGCTAGAGGTTCAGCTGGCGCTAATGTGCTGTTGCAAATCGAAGCAGACAGCAAGCAGCAGAAAATTGACTTCCGGTAATGCATTTCAACGCGGAAAATTATAACGTGGTAAATAGCTTGGAAATATTCTCTATCACACAAATGAAAATATTGGTCAGTTACAGTGCTTTTCTGTCGAATTCATGTCATTCAACCCAACGTTAGGACGGTTTAACACATACATTTACGAGCACTTTCGGTCACTATTAGCGCGAACACGGCGTCGGCGCTTTTCTGCATGTTGGGATTTACGTTACCGGGCGAACGAAGGACATGTGAAAAAACCGAGAGACGGCAAGAACTGAGCAGTAACACTGGATCAGTAACTCCCTGTGCATGAAAACGATGGAAATAAAGTGAAGGCCAAGGTAATATAGTTCGATTTACGATAAATGAGTACTCCTTTATTCTCTCTGCTCGTGTATATGTGCGAAGATGCTTGTTCTGCGTTCGAAACGCTCGAAATATTTAAAAGAATAGGTAGAAGCCAGAAAACAGGTGCCCGATAAAAGCTGGCCGGCATAGGAAATGAGAAAAAGATAAACTTTTCACAGCCTACGTATTTGATTCTTTTCCTTTTTGGATGTTTTTAACCGCTCGTAAAAATGCCCGACGAAGTCATTTTCGTATGTGTGACAAGACTGGCATATTAGCACTATACAAGCGTCACCGAAGGAATTCTGGCGAACGTTGAACACACTTTACATTCCTTTCAATGGTTATTTTGCTTAGATTCGTCGCTCGTGTTTATACACACATTATGTGGACCACAGGCTAACCTCGTTCACTGACAAAGAAAAAGAAGCTGTAACTAAAGGAGTTACACTTTAACAATGTTTAACAAAGCTTACAGGTTGTAATAACTCTATGGCGTCAGCATCGAGACAATCGCGTCATCCAAGCTTCAACATGTTTGCCGCTTCGGGCGGGTCGGTAGGGGATTCACGAACGATGACGTCATAAGCCGGCCTTGTCTCCTAGGTGGCGTTGGCTGGCGTCCCATGCGTGCAAGCAGGTGCGGCACGGACGCGAAGGTAGCTTTTACGGGTTTCGCGCTCACAAGCAAACAACGCGGCTGCCAGATGTCCTGCTTGCAATCGCCTATTCCGTTATATCGGTTAAATATTTTATCAACTGGCTTCTATTTAAAGAGATACTAAGAACAGCCTAGTTCTTTCTTACTAATGAGATTTTCGCTTCCCATGATGCGTAATATCAAGCTTCCCGATTCAGTCCCAGCATTGGCAGACGATGGCCCTTGGTTTTAAGCTACAACGCGCGAAAACGGACTCAAAATGACTCAACACGCAAACTTCAGTGCTTCTGAGAGAGCCGAATACGTAAAGCCGAGCATCTGAGTAATGGACGACTACAAGCGGTGTGCAAGGGCAGTCATCTATAGAGAGTCTTCAGTGGCGGCCATATCCGTGTGGGCTGCTGCTGAGCGCGTGCTGACGGCGAGCTTCCGCAGTCCTTTTGGAGCTTGCATTTAGCACCATCAAGGTTGCCGGTCTTAGCAGGCTATTAGGGTGAGCTCGTTCTGAGCATGCGCTCTAAACGTCGCCCTCAAATATGGCGTCCAGTGAATACCTCCTACACTTCCCCCCTGAGCTGAGAGTGCATGGGGCGGAAGCTATGCAGAGAGCAAGTCGTCTGCTTCTTGCGCAGGACTTGCGATGACGTCAGAACGACGCCAAGCTCTGATTGGCTTTGATTGAATGGATAGTGGGTAGACCTCAACGTTAGATGCCTTGAAGTCTACTCCCTCTTTTTTTTTTTCGATCAGCCAATAAGAGCACGTCGTTGTTCTCACATCATCGGAACCCCTCTGCAAGAAGCAGACGAACTTGCGTTCCGCACAGCTTCCGCCCCACTGTGGGACGGAAACGTTCACCTTCCGCCACGTGACCACGCCCACGGGCGGAGAGCGAAGTCACGTGATAAAAGGGAAGCGGTTAATTGGTCCGGCGATCGCGTAGCTCCCACCGCAACGCAAGGGGCGAACGGAGCGCGCAGTCCAACCTGAAAACAATGACGGAATTAAACTAACATATAGCAAAAACATATCCGTTCACGGTGAGCAGGTGTTTACGAAAAGGCCGGGGTAACACTTGTTTTCGTTTCATTTCATTCCCCATTTTGTACTGCTGCCAAAACCCAAAAGCCGTTCATTACGACCAACGTTACTAAAACACTCAGTTGGGAAACTCGCCGTCGAAACCTGGGCTGCTGGCGTCCACCGAGACCGAGCTAAATGCGACAACAGCGCCACTCTTTATCATTTGTCTGTACTGTGGTCACCTTGAGCTTTTTGAAAGCCTGTTTTTGCGTAAAAACGAACGGAAAAGACTCTTTTTGTATGAAATTTATTGGAGTTTAGTACAAAAACAGGGGCGCGTTATGTTTTTAAAATCCTAAGTTTGTAGGGCTTTGCAGCATAATTAATATTGTTTTTATACAACCATGCCTCAGCGGTCCTTTCAGGTAGCGCGTCCCGACCTAGGTGCATTTTAACTTCGGTATGTCGACGCGGCGCGTCCGCCGGGGGTGGCACCCTTGTAACCTCTTCAGCTGTATCTGTTCTTAAAGCCAAAATTGAAGTCAAGTGCAGTTCCTCGAGTGGCCGCTGCGGGAGAAATGGAGGCGTTGTGTTCGTCATTAGCTCGGTGCTCGGAGACAGATTGGGGCCACTTTTTCTAAGCTGTCTCTATGGGAGTTTCCCAACTGAGTGTTTTAGTAACGTTGATTACGACCGATTCACGAAGCGGGTTGTGGAATAAGGACACTCAACAACGTTTAGTGCCACGGACCCGTTGATCGCAAGAGGCCAGCGGTACATGCACATCTTCAATTCGTCCTGAATCTACCCAACGGACGAACGGGATTACTTCGGTGAGACTGCGTATAGTTGTGAAGTGCGGTGTTAAGGCTGGTTCACACAGCACCGTCTTCTGACGTTTTCTTACATTACGGATAAGTCGCCGAAACTTCCGTGTCTCGAATGTAGCGTGCCAAGTTTTGTCCTTGAACCGGTAGCCTCGCTTAATATGAAGCACAGATGTCCCGGCGACTTGCACGTGAGCTTTCGTAACATAACGTCACGTAAGAAAACGGGACTGTGTGAACAAGCTCTTAGTGAAGCAAAGGAGTAATATCGTTTCGATTGCGAAACGTTTCAAAGCTGTCCAACGATTGCGCTATTGTCACGAATGACATGTGATGAGGCTGTAATAACTGGACAAACTAAACGTTTAATGGGGCGAACTTGTGCCCAAAAATAAGAAAAGGGAACAGAAGAAAGGGGAGCGTCGCGAGCGTCGAAGTCGGCGTGACAGCAGAGTCGAACGCTGGGGCGAAACTGGCTCCGGCTTCCCACGCGGAGCCCCTTTTGTACACGCGTGGGCTTCTGGAACAATCGGCGTAGAAGGTTCGGCGTGTCGAACATTCTGACCTCGAATCAGCAACACGGTTCTCGAATTTACCAGAACATTACGTTAGAGTCAACAAAAATACGTCTTCGCGGCCAGGAATCGAACCCTGGCTTTCTGCGCGGAAGGCACGCGCGATAGATTCGTTGCTCTGGGGCGCGAGCGCGTCCGGAAGACTTATGCAAGACGCGACCAGGTTATGCTGGCTGCATCATCCGTGTGGCGCTGAAGCGTTGGATTTTGCACGTGCCTCGTTCGAATACAAGCAGCTGTCAGCATCTGTAGATGCGCGGTAACAAAACGCCTAAAGAAAGTAAAAAAACATAAGAGACCAGAATTCTGCAGCTCGCGGCCGCAGCGTTTCATTAAACATTCCTTTCATCTTCGCTTTCTTTCATAGCTTCCTCGAGCACGTATATTTCACTTTACGTGATAGCGAAGCCGAAGCTACTCGCAAAAGCGCGTCCTCCTGAACGATGCTCGCACTGCACGAGCGCGCGTGCCTGGCAGGGACGCTGAAAGCTCGCAGGTCGATCCTTTAGCCTCTGCTACGCTGGCACTTAGAATGGAACGGAGTAGAAAAAAACTCTTGTGAGGAAGTGTATTGACGCATGTTCGAAACGCGAGCCAAATATTATATTTTGCTCGCCTGGAGCGCTGCACAAAACTTGAGAGCTACGAGCCTATAACCGTTAGGCCACGGGCGCGCTGCCTGCTCGGCCACCTGCGCGCGCGGCACTATAGAGCTTCACGCAAACTTTGGCCGCCTCATGAACAGAATTTCAACGGCAGGGAGCGCCTTCAGGGCCGGCTTGCTAACGGCTTGCTAGAGACAGCGTCTCAGTTGAGCCTGGGTGAAAGAAAGTGCTGCCAAAGTCAGAGCGCCAGCTGAGCGGGACTCAAACCGCGTCTCAAGACGCTCGCGCGCCTCCAGCATTTGCAGCGATTTCTTTCACCCAGTCTCGGCTGAGACGCTGCTCTAGTAAGCCGGCCCAGTTGTCCCGCCTTCGACAACGCTTCGGTCTCTCGTGAGCTTCGAGCGTGCACGCGCAGCCAAAGCACAACGGAAGGCAATGAGCGCGGGCTCAAGGCAAGACATCCGGAAGAGATGGCCTGCCGTTCTTATCCTGCCAGTTACTAGAGAAGTGCAACTTTGTGGCCGCAAAGCATTGACCCATAGTCTGTTATCAGCCTTTCCACTCTCCAATGTTTTCCGGCAAATAGTTGAAGCCAACATTCGGCGTAAACTTCCCCTGGAAATTTAGCGCTAAAAAAAATTAATTCAAAACCCTATTTGAAGCAACTTTACATCTGGGTCGTGATGTAGCACCTGGATAAGGTGCCGAAGGACAAGGACAAAGTGAAGAAAATAACGACAACACGAAGCGCACTCGCAACTGGAAGTTAATTAGAAAACACGCTGACTTAA